GAGAGAAAGCCCCAGCTCTCTCGTTTCTCTGGTATTTAACGTAGTAGAGAGGTCGTGCGAACGACGTGTAGTCAATGTGCGAGCGACGTGGGAAGATCGTGCGAGCTGTGTCGACGACGTGCGGGGTATAGTCGGACAGGGCAGGTATGGGATTTTTTTTTTGTTCTGAGGTCAACATATACGTGAAAAGGTTGGAGTAACTCTAGTGGAAGATAGGATTAGAGTGAGCCACCTTAGATGGTTTGATCACATTAAATGGAGGCAATCTGATGACCCGGTTAGAAAAGTTGAGGTGTTAGATTTGATTTATGTTAAGAAAGGTAGAAGTAGATCTAATAAGACTTGGTTAAAAAATATTAGAAATGATCTTTATTTATTAGATTTAAATGAGAATTTGACTTTTAAGAGGACACACTGGCGGAAAAGGATTCATGTAGCCGACCCCACGTAGTGGGACAAAGGCTTGTTGTTGTTGTTGCATGCCCTAATTGTGCCCTAGGGGTGTCAATGTTTGGTATGACCCGAAAATCCGACCCGAAAATTTCAGGTCGGGTCAACCCGAACCCGAACTAGGTCATGTTCGGGTTAGAGATTTTGACCCGTTTGCAAAAACGGGACTGGTTCGGATTTGGTTAAAAAGTGTCGGGTCATATTCGGGTTCGACCTAAACCTGACCTAAAACCCATTTTTGACAGCCCTACTGTGGAAGTCGGTCCATTCCTCCTCCCACATCCTAATAGCAAGGCCAACTTGTAGATCCTACGCACCTCAATAGCTCCATTGCATCCCTTCCCCCCTCTTGTTCGCAACACCTGCCGCCTAGTACCTGCACCACTAAATCGTCATCTCCCAAGCTCCTCATCGACGACCAACACCTTAACCATCATCTTCCAGGCCGACTTCCAACCGCCCTCCCTACTATTGGTGCCACTTACTCCTATCCTCAACTTAACCCAACAACCTCTCTCAAGTTCCATACTGTCAATCAGCCCAAGATAATGTCAACCACCCTTTATTAACCACTGTTATTACACTCCTTTGGAGGCCAACCATCCAACCGTAGCCTTACGTTGGAGTAATGGACCAGGAAGTTTATTTTAAAAATGCGGTATAAGAGTGTTGATATCAAGAGACATGCCTCATAACATCGAAGAGTTGAAAATATCCTATGTACCTCCTATGTTGGAGTAATGGGCCATGAAGTTTATTTTAAAAGTGCGGGAATCATCAAGATGAGAATTTTAATTTTCTTATTGAATCTATCGAATTTAGAGAGATAATTCTTACAAGGATGTCTTAATATTACCCTCCAAGAATTCAAAATATGATATGAAAGTTAGGAGTTTGTGTTGTGATAACTAAACATTAAACTTAATATTTTCAGAAAATATGCTATCTAAAAAGCCCATTGGTGTCACTTAGAAATGGAAACTGTATGATTAGATGCATCATATATATTTTACTCAAATACATTAAAAACAATTGCTATGCAATAATGGAGGGAGAAGCTAAGCTTGAGAGCAATAGTGAAAATGGACTTTATGAAGTCAACCCTTTAGCTGATCAAGCCATAGAATCAAATTTGGACCTAAAGTACTAAAAGATGGTCGAAAAGATGCTATAATGGATTAGCTGAAAAAAACTTAGGTAGATCCTTGCCCAACTTTCATCCGCACTTCCTATCTAAAGATAAAGTTAAGAAAATAAAGACACATTTCTAAGAATTCAGGAAATACTTTGCTTTGATATACGTTGAGATGCTCGACTTATACCCTGATGTGACAATTCACAAATTAGCCATCAACCTGATGTATTACTTGTTAAATAAACTTTAAGAAGAATGAAATTGGAGATAAAAAAGATTGTTGATTTTGGAAATGAAAACTTTATTGAAGTTGGTTTCATTCAAGAAGAAATATATGCATATTGGAAAATCAATAGTGTATTGTGAAGAACAAAAATGATCAAAAACTTGTATCTGTAACCTAGTGTTAGAATTATTAGTTGATAACACTTGTAATTATGACATATTCTCTGTTATGGACAAATCGTTGGCTATAATCAGATCAGGATGACTTCTAACGATGAAAAACACGCATTATTCAGGATGTCTATTGATATATTATGCTATACAATCATGTTGTTTTGCTTGAAAAATTCAAGGGCTACTCATTAAAGGGCTATGACACACATCTTTAATGACATAATCCATCAAAAGTTGGAGTGTTATGTTAATGATCTTGTCAAGAGAAAACATTGCAAAGATCATCTTAATGATCTTTGAGTTGTATTTGAGAGAATTTAAAATTTTGAATTCAAAATGAATTCTCTTTCATATGCTTTTTTGAGATTTTCTCATAAAATTTTTTGGGGTATGAGGAATTGAAATTCACCCCAATAAAATCGAAGTGATCATCGAAATGCAAAGCCAAAAAGTCTTCGCCAACTTTGCTTTTTGTTGGGGAAGCTCACATTCATTTGACATTTCTTGTCAAACTGTCAGGTATATGTCAACCATTTGGGAAGTTAATCAAAATGATGTTCGTTTTAAATATGATAATGAATGTCAAGTGGCTTTTGATATTATCAAAAGATATATTTTAAGATCTCACATTCTCGTGGTGCCAATCATAGAGAAGTTGCATATCTTGTAAGTAGTAGCATTAGATGAATCTTTCAGAGCATTTGATGGAACAACATAATGAAGAAGATAATGAGAACGCTCTCTATTACATCAAACGAAGATTGATTGGAGCATAAGCATGATATTTTTTTAATTGAGAAGCACTGTTTGATGCTAATTTTTGTCACTTAAAAACTTCGTCGTTACATATTTTCTCATAAATTCATAAGAATACTTTGATTTCAAAAATTGAACCACTAAAGTTCTTGATGACAAAGCCGACAATTTAATGGCCTGGTGGGAAAATCATGTATGTTTCTCAAAAGGTGGTGAAATGATCTATTTTTGCAAAGTTTCTCTCCATATATCCAATCAATGCAGATTTAATCCTCAGTGTTGACTTATTCAAGGAACAGATTTTGCTCATTCACAAAAATGAGAAATTGTGAATCGGGAAAATGTATTTTGATTGAGTATCAAATATCAAAGTTGCCCAACCTCCAAACCTCCTAAAGACATGAGTCAGTATCATCTCATCTTCATAATGCTTCGTAGAGGGATAATGAGTTACTCATCCGACTTGATTAAGCCTCGAACCAATAATGAAACTAAGTATGAAACCTTAGTGGTAGGACTTGAGATTTCCATTTCTATAAAAATCCATATGATTCATATTTTTGGAAAATTTTAGCTTGTTATAATCAAGTATTTATAAGATCAACTAATCTGAGTGCACCAAGTCTGTTGTGTGATAGAGAAGGACAACTCAAATTTAAGGAAAATTTTTATAAGATGATAGTGAGTCCTGTAATGCTTTATTGCACAAAATGTTAGCCGTTAAAAGAGAAGTATAAAATTAAGTGTTTCAAATATGAGGATGCTCAGGTGGATAAGTGGGTTTACACTTAAAGATAGAATATGAAGCGAGTATATACGTGAAAAGGTTGTAGTAGCTCCATTTTCAAATAAGATTAAAGAGAGTTGCCTTCCGAAGACCTTGCTAGGAGAGTAGATGTATTTGATCCAACCTATGTTAAGAAAGCTAGAGGGAAACCTAAAAAATGGATTGTTAGAAAATTTTAAAAATGATATTTTTTTTTCTATTAGATTTAAATGTGAATTTGATTGTTTATAGAAGGACTAGAGGAGTTGTTTTTAGCCCCGAGATACATGAAGAATTAGAATATCTCACCAGTTTACTAGTTTTAGATTGATCACAAAATAGGGTTGTAATATCTAATAGGCATTTGAACATTCATTTGCCCACCCACTTTCATATGCAAGCTTTATAGATATGTACATCATCACATTTCTACATATGGTATGCTCATATAATCACATAAACCAACCAAAGGTTGTAATCTGATTGGTCTTCCATCATCCTTATTTGCACTATATATATATATATATATATATATATATATATATTAAAAGTCTTCTTCGATGCAATTGACATGCATATGAGAGATCAATGTTGAATCAGATGGTATCTTATTCAAGAAAAAAGTAAGATCATATTCTTGAAGTAGCTTAGAGGAATTGAAATTGTTGGTTGTGTTTTACCGAAGTGGCACATCACTTCTAATTTCTTACCAAATTAAGTTTTATTAACCTTTGTCATTTTATTTCATTTATGATGAATTTCCAACCAACTTGTTCTCTTTTTTCCCTTCTCTTCAATGCATTATAATAGTGTTGATATTTGGCTTGTATATAGAAAATAATTAGTTAGCATAAGGATTTATTATTTGTTTAAATAATATTCGAATCATATTTGAACATCTTTGAACATTGATTGAACAATGTTCCAACAATGTTCGATCAATGCTTGAACAATGTAAGAAGAGATCATTTATGGATCTTGTTCAAACTACGACTGAATAAGTTTCAAACATGATTCGAGTAATGATCGAATAACATTGTTTGAATATAATCATGTCTTTGAATATTTTTCAACCAAATTTTATTATTATTCGAACAACGTACGAATATAATTCGCACGCATATTTTAAAAAGAATTGAAATAAACTCTTTGATATTCTATTTAGGTTGACTTTACAACTCTATCAAAATGACATAAATAGTATCCATTTATGCTGAAGTTGTAGATGAACAAAGAAAATATCCAATTTAACTGATAATGTTAACAATGGAGAAAACTGTGACATTATTCTTCCAATATATTGAAATGTAAGTATAGTTGGGGTGCTTTAGTCCGAAATAAATTGTCAGCCATGTTTGCCCACTTTCTCCTTAATAGGATATCCACATCCACTTCGTTATTCGTGCAGAGTAATGGAGCCTGCTTTGCTTCTGCTTCTGCTTCTGCTTCAATTTTTCTTGACTCATATTTGGCTTCCACATTTGATTCTTGCAGGAGAAGTCCCTGCTAGAGAATAAGATTGAACTTGAGAACAAGGTATGTAGATCTTGCTATCAAGATGATAATATATATGAAGTGATGCTTTCTCTACTTTTCGGACAGATTATTGAGAACAACAACGCAATAATGATGGCAAAGCAAATGCAAGCCAAAGAGCAAGGTCGTGACCAAGCGAGCTCTTCCACGCCACCTACCTTACTGCTGCTAAACTCCCTTTCCACAACCTTGCCGCCATGGATGCTTAGGCCTCCAAGCTGAAGATTGAGACCTACAATTCTGAATGTTTCTGCTCATAAGGTACTGTGTGAGCCATGGCTTCATCTTTACAATTTCAGTGCATTTGAGGTCCCCTCTTTTTGTATAAAATGTCTAAACAATACTAAATTAAGTTATAGTGTGCCTGTTGTTAATGTAAATATTGTAATTACTGTATATGATCCTTTATTGTAACATATTTATAACTGGGTTTTTGTTAGTGGTATTTAAGCTATATAACTTCTTTATTATTATTATTATTATTATTTTCTGATGTCTATGCAAAATACTCAAAAATCTGTCTCTTCCAGTTTCATCTTGATTGTTGGTTTAAGTAGTTAAGTTAGATTTAATTTAAGCACAAAACAACAATCAATGATCCTCTCATTGAAAAGAAGAATTCTCTCAATTTCACCGAGTTTGGGATAAAATAAACATCAAAATTACGTGAACCAATAACCTTCTTATGGACCTCAAATGTATAGTTCAGTATTCGATTACTTATTTAAAATCAACATCAAGCTCATTTAGTATGCGAGTCTCATATTGGAAATAAATTGTATTGCTTAGACTAAGGACTATTATTTGAAGAAATTTTTATTGACACCAATATAGTCGAATTCCTTAACATTAATGGCTAAATCATAAGACCCAGCTAGCTCTTAAATTAAAATAACCTAATTTTTATTGCATTTGCATAAAGACCATTGTGTTAAGTTTTTCAAAACTCTTAGGCGAGTTTATATGGCAATTCTTTTAAAAAATGATAATAAAATCAATGTCCAGCTTTCTTAGCTTTTCATAAGGTAGTAAGGTATCAGTCCTTTCCAATTAATTGCTTTAAATTTAAGTTTAAGATTTTGTTTGAGACAACTTCTTTGTATTTAGGAAACTGCTTTAGAATTCAGGAAATGTATCCTTTAATTATGATAATATATGTCATATTTCATCATATAATTAGACTGTTTATTAAATATTTAAATATTATATTAAATATTTAATGATATAATGTTTGATTAAATATTTAATTAAAACCTATAATACACAAACAAATTTATATCGTTACAAATGTTTACATAAGCTTTAATTAAATTATTAAACTTAAATAATTTAATTAGTTATAACATTTAATTAATATTTTATTTAAAACTTATAGCATTTTTATGTAATATTTTTTATACGTTTATATTTAATTTTAAGTAATAAATATGTTAAAATTTATTAATATAAAACAAAACTTAATATTTATTAGTAAATTAATATATTTATAATTTTAAAATGTATATTTAATAGTTATTACTTATTACATTAAATCAATATACTATTTAAATTTTATCATATCATTTCTAATTTTATAAATATTTAATAAAAATATCTTTAAATTTTTATACTTTTAAATAAAAAAATTTTACATATTCATTCACTGGGATTCAAACCTAAACCAGTTGAATGCTCACCAAATGAATGCAAGCAAGATGCTGCAGAAGTTTACTAAAATGTATATTTATAAAATGAATCATGTAATATATTTTTATATTTTCTTAAAAAAAAAACACCAAATAGATTAGTATTTTCTTAAGAAAATACTAAATTATTTGACATTTTTACTCTTTCATAAATTTTCTTTAAAGTAAGCTTCTTTTAAGCTACTTTTTAAATTTTTATCAAAGAGAATAGAAAGGAACGCATTTCGTCTTGGTCTATTGATTGTGAGTTTTGACTGTCAATTAAGAGGGCTTGGATTGAAATTTTGAATATGTAAATTGTAATATATATTGTTGTGGGCTAGAATATACGCGACAATAGAGTTTAATTTCTACGTCTTACCGTTGCACGGATATCCAGCTCACACACAGAGAACACAAAATTTTTTACTTGGAAAATTCTGAAAAGAGGAAAAACCGTAGAGTCTAACCTAGTTGAAAAGATTCCACTAGAATTTGAATTGAGTATAGTGGGCTGACTTGTCCTTGAGGGCGATTAGATTACAAATGTCAATCGTATGGTTGAAGTTTAGTGTCAAATCTGGTGTCACTTGGAAGTTCGGGCCTCAAGTGGTGGTCAGGCAGAATTCTGGGCCTTAGGTGGTGGTTTGGCGGAGCTCAGGGCCTCAAGTGGAGGTCTAACGGAGGTGAGGGCCTCAAGTGGTAATCCGACGGAGGTTAGGGCCTCAAGTGGTGGTCCGACAGAACTTAGGGCCTCAAGTGGTGGCTCGATGAATGTGAGGGCCTCAGGTGGTAGTCCGATGAAGGTGAGGGCCTCAAGCGGTGGTCCGACGAAGGTGAGGGCCTCAGAAGGTGGCCCGGCGAGAGTGAGGGCCTCAAGTGGTGATTTGACGGAGCAACAATGTCAGGCGGTGGTCCGACGGAACTCAAGAGATAGTCGAGGAGCTTCTTCCTTTTTCTTCTCTTTTTCCTTATCTTCTCTTATTCTCTTCTTGCTTGGGTCTATTTTCAAGAGAAATGAGTGGTCTATTTATAGATTTATGGAGTGACATGACCCATAAATAGGTGAGAGATTAAGGGTAAATGGGAAGTGGTTGGATGAACGGCCGATATTGAATCCCATGATCAATGACCATTTGATGGACATATGAATGTTTTAGTGATGTCGGAATTTTGTGATCTTGAGCTCGTTGGATTCGTCTCGTCGAGCCGCTCGATTCGACTATAAGCATGTTATGTTTGGAAACGGTTTGATAATCCAAATTGTGGTTTGAAACTTCCAAAAGCACTTCTAACATTTGATTTGGACCTGTTTCGGCTTGGATTGGGTTGAATTTGGTGTCGTTGGGTTTGTATTCTCGAGACACAATCAGTTCGATTGTAAGTTTGTTAAAATCGGAGTTCGGATGGTCCCAATTTTAATTTCAAAAGTTTCCAACTTGGTTTTGCATTGATATTCGTGCCCGATCAAGATAATTTTTTTGATGATATATATATAATGATATCTTTTAACGATAAAAAGGGGCGGACATATCTTCTACACAAAGCTAAGGAAACAGAATATCTTTTTATTATTATTATTTTTATTCTCTCATTTGCTATGGGAGCGAATCTCTTCTATTTATGGCTCTAGTGTTTTCTTAACCGAAAGTTGAGAATCCAATTCTTCATCTTGTTACGTGGCCCTGACAATTCTTTATTTGCTAAATTATTTTTTAAGAAAATGCCCAATTGATAATGATAAAATATTGAAAATTTTATCTAGTAGGCTTCGTAGAGCAAATATAGTGTAGGTTGGGGGTGTCAAAATGGGTATTCGGGTCGAAATCGGAATTAATCCGAGTCCAATTTAGCTGATATGAATCTGACCCGGTTCTAACCCAGGTTGACTCGACCAAATCCGCTAGTCATGAGTGGGCAAGAGTGGGGGCGCGCCAGCGAGATAGGGGCTGAGTCGCGAGAGAGCGAAGGCAAGGGGGCGAGCTCCTGAGGGAGAGGGGGTGAGGCTCACTAGCGGGTGCACGGGGGTGACCCGGGCCAATTGGGTTGATTTCAAGTTGACTCGAACCGGACTTGAATTTCCAATCGGGTCTGAATTTGCAACCTGAACCCAACACATTTTTTAAATGGGTTGATCCAAATCCGACCTATTTTCCAAATTGTTGGAACTCGAATTTTTTTGTCAAATCAAATATTGACACTCGTAAGTGTAGGTCTAATTCATCACTTGCCATTTGTCCTTTTTTTTCATTTAAGGCATATCTTTGCTGATAATGCTATTAACATTAATGTCATTATCAAATATTATAATTCTAAGTTTGCGCCTAAACAATTTCGTGCTAATCTGATATTTAAAACTCTTGGATCAAAGGTTATCTATCTCATGTTGGTTTTATTATATCATTATTAATTCTCTCTTAATGGATTTTTCCATTGGAGATGCCCTAAATTGTAGTTGTCTCTTGTAATTGTGGGGGAGAATATTGTACAAATAATGACGTTGATAGATAGATATATGAGTGGTAACATTAAATGTTGGAGTTACTAATGCATGAAAATAAGCGATGATGGATGCATCAATAGATGATGAATATTTTATTTATATATAATGTTTGAATAATGTTTAAAAAGCTTATCATATAATAAATAAACTCGAGCATTAATTGTGCTCATTTATATTCGTCTATATATATATATAGCAAATGATATCACTTTTGATTAAAATATATAAATTCAAACATGTATCGTATAACGGTATAAGAATAAAAATTTAAATCATTATTATCAAAATGGACAACTCAACATAACTTAAAATCAATAAGAAAATTAATAAATATACTTCAACAAAACTTTGAAAATGGAGTTATTTTCAAATTTAGCTAGAATTGGATAAAATAAATAAATAATATTATACTTTTATTTTTTTATGAAATCAAATGAACACAAATATAATATATTCTCTTTTCATGATAGGCAGACACAAAGTATAACTTTAATGCAAGAGTTGTAGAAGAGTTGATAGAGATTTTTCTCGAAGGTTCTTATTCGACCACTCCCTAATCATTAGTGTATTATTAATCACCAACCTAATAAAAAAAAAAACTTTTAATATATTCTTCATCCTATCAAATTTAGGATGAATAATAAAATAAACCAAGGGCAGAGATGAAAGGAGAGGTTAGTAATGTATGGTGAAGATTCAATCAACAGTGGTATGTAGTAGCAAATCAGAAAAGTGGAATAGAGATTGCAGGTTTCGCTTGGAACGGTTTTTTTACTGCTTCTTAAAATAATTTTTTAGCATAAAATTTTTAGTTTTTATACTAAAAAATTGCTTTAAAAACAGTGCCAAATGAAGCCTCCTAGCCTTTATTTTGTTCTCCCACGATGGAATGCATTTGATTCATGGGACCCAACACTCCATCAACTTTACTTCTAAAGTTAATTATTCATATTCGGCTCCATAATTAGTTTTTTAATTTCAATTATTTTAAAAATATTTTATTTTAGGGTTTAGGTGGTCCTAATGCAAAAAATCAATTAATTAATTAGAGGGTATGAAATAAATATCTATATCCCAAATGAGTGCTTCTACTAGTTTTTTTTTTATTTATAAAGGGGTATATTTTAAATAAACTCATTTGTCGAAAAAAAAAGTATTTTTATCACTTTTATTTTAATAATAGGTTATTGTATCACTTTTTTCGTACCATTTCTGGCTTCTATATATACCATATTCTCCCTGCTCTATTTGCACGCTCTTCATGTTGGTTCCTTTTTCTTTTTGTTGAGAGAACTTGGGGTTTAGGGTTTAGGCACAAGAGATCTCGATCTCCGTCATCATCTGAAACGCCGATCTTGTCTAGCAAGGCGAATCCGTACGTACAAATACTCCACCGACTCCCGGTACGCTTCTGATCGATTGATCCCTCAATCCATTCAATTTATGGTGATTTTGTGAAGTATTGTAGGGAAAATTATTACGTCCGGTGTTCGGATTCGTCCAGACACCAATCTAGACGCGTCATGTCACCCTGATACACACAAGACCCAATGTATCCGGGTGACGTGACACGCCTGGATTGGTGCCCAGACGGTCCGATCACCGGACGTAATAATTCGCCGTGTTGTAGAATAAGGATGGAAAGATGTTAGATGTTTAGTTAATTTGGAATTGTGATGTATGCTAGGAGATTGGGCGATCAATTCGATCTCGATCTACTATTTATGTACGTTGTGTTCCTTTATGTGGGACCTATAGTTTATTTAAGAATTAAGTATTCCCGCGGTAAATCAAGTGTTTCTTAATCGAATTATTTCTTAATGAATTGGCTTCCACTTTTCCTTACTAATTGGGTTTTCTTGCTTTGGTAGTTTTCTAGCTAGGAATATATATAGATTGTCAACTTGCACAAATTTTAAAAATCGATACTATAATCATTTTTACAAGCTTAAACATGCTTAATAAAAAAAAATTAAAATCAGGCATAGTCACCAGAGGAGGAATTTTAAAAAAGAGTGTGTTTAAAATGTAATTAAGCAAAAGAAATGTGATTATTAAAACTTTTAAAAGGAGCAAATTTGTCATATTATTTGGCACAAAATGATTTAGCGAGTTTCAATGCTCTAAAGCATTTGGCGTATTCCGTTAAAGAGAGAGATAGGGAGAGATAACGATTTAAATAATTTTTTAATAATTAAAATAATATTTAAAAAGTTTTATATAGAAATAATAAAAAATTTATAAAATTTTCATGGCCCTTATTAGTTTTCCAAAGAAAATTATTTCTTATGTGAAATGATCTATATAAACTTTCTTAAGATGTTTTATCACTGCATGCAGACCTGAGCATAAAATTCTTCTGGAGAGAAGGTATGTTGATCTTGCAATAAATACCATTAATAAGTTGTAGCTGCAAGCGAGGTGATTGTTGTGTGATATCAATGAAATTTTTGCTTTATTTGGTGCACAGATAATTGCGAATGAGAAGGGCATAACGATGACAGCTCCACAAGCAAAAGAGCAAATTCAAGATCAAACAAGCTATTGGTTGAGACCTACAATTCTTAATATAGCTCTTAAGATATTGTGAGTTTTGAAGCTCTGTTGCTGCATACTTTCTATAAGATTTTGAACATGCATTTAAATCTTGATTTATATCTTATCTTATTTTTCTTTGGAGCAATTTCTTACATAGCACACAAATCTTATCTATTTACAGAACGATAGTGTTCATGAAATACTTGTAAATATTTGCTTGTGTAAATAGTTTATTTCTGGTTGACATAATATTTGCAATAGATTATGTGCATACAAAAAAACATAGTTTATGATAGAAGAACACTTTGCATGACATTTCATATGATGTAATTCTTAATATATCATAGATAAGTACTTAAAAACATATGAGTTAAATATCAAAAAAATCACTTAATCATTTAATATTCATATAAGGTATTTTACTACTTGATGGATAAATGAATAATAGAGATTTTTTTGAATATGTTGCTGAAATATTTTAGGAGATAATTTATATCAAGTTCATTATCTTAAATATGCCTGCTAGTATTTGAAACACACTGGTCATACTCCCATGTTAATAAAGGAATCTCTAATCTCCCTATAATTTAAGAAAAAGCTTTTCGACACTAATGTTTGTCAAAAGAGCAAAATTGAACCAATCAGCATGAGTTCTAACCAACCTTCCCTTATATGTATATAATATATAACCCTCAACATTTCCATAAATCACACAAGTCAATAACACTTCATGACAAATCAAATAATAATAAAGTTGAGATTAATGATAAACATAATATGATATGCAGAAATTCACCTCACTTTTTACATGTGATGTGATAGAGTAAAGTGAACAGAGGAACATATGAGTTCATAAGCCGTCTACTTTCAAAACATATAGGTATTTATATCAATTAACAATATTAGAGAAACATAAAAAACCACTCTATTTTCTTTATATATATATATATATTATAATATATTATACAACACCTCAAATTACAATGTAAATAAATTGATGGTTACAAAACACTACGCATATACGAGACACTTTTCATGATAAGGCATAAGAATATATATATATATATATATATATATATATATATATATATATATTATATATATATATATATAATATATATTATATATATATTATATATATATATATAATCTTATTTTTTAATATGGAGCGAACTATAGAGGCTTATGTATCAAAACTAGTATTAGATTAGAGTAGCAAAACTATCAGTGCAATTATAAAGTATAATCTATAGTAACATGCGCCACATTGTAGTACAACCAAATATCATAATAAAGATTAGAGGATAACTAATCAATATGATAGGTAGTCTCACATATCATCTAATTAATTTTTATAACAAAGAAGGAAAATATGATAGTACCGATGACATAAATTTAATGATAAAAATCATGAAAAATCATACTAGAATTGTGACCAAACTATATGGGATTTAGTACTATAGCCAAGCAATTGTGTTGGAATATATGCATTACAAACATTTGGCACATAAGAATACATGATACCACTCAAATACATATAAGAGCATTTTAGTATATAAAAAGGCCATGAAACCTACAAGAGTATTTTATTAATGTTAGGTATAAAGACAAACTTTCTGTAAAAAATAAAAAAACACATGATCAATAAGCTTATATATTTCATATGGCATATCTAACTCTGAAAGATCGTTAGGGATGTTAGGCCCTATTGGAACTAGTGCCCAAAGCTATTTAAGAGAGAGGTGAATCGGTATTTTAATAACAAACACATCACAAAACCAATATTCCCACAACGAAAAACAATGCGGAAGAAAATAATTGCGGAAGCAATAATACGAAAAGAACACACGGATTTATAGTGGTTCGGTCAAACCTTGACTATCGTCACTGCTTGGGGCACCCCCAAGTATTGCACTAAATCTAGTGTCTCTCCTTTAGCCCCCACGGCTAGGAGGAGAAGCCCTTACAAAATCACTTCCACCTTCCCGGGCGGCGGAGTCGCCGGTCCTTTGACACCAAAGAGATCTTCTTCTTGGTGAACTTACCTCGAGACAAGCCTTGAATCCGATGGTACTAAGGTGCGAGTTCGCCGGAGGCAACGCGTGTGGAACCCCCTCCACAACTCCTGAGTCCCCCCTCACAGGATCTTCTTCCCTCTCTCAAACTCCACCCTTTGCTCTCTCCCTTTCAAGCTCTCTCTCTAGTTTCCCCCACAAGAACGAAGCTACAATGGCCTGCCAAAGACACTTACAAAGTGTCTTGCCAATAGCTTTAAATTATAGAGGCTCTCAAAACGAGCTCATTTTAATGCAAGTTGCCGCATTAATCGTCCAAGGACGATAGTATATCGTCCTGGACGATCAGTAGCAAATTAAGCTCATTAGCCCGGGACGATATGGGACGTCAGAAGAAAATTGGTTACATCGTCCTGGCCAATCTTACGATCGTCCTGGCCGATTAGTTTAAAACGTTTCAATCGTCCTGATCATCGCCCTATTTTGAGCTGGCCGATACTAGATCGTCCAGGCATCGGCCGGCCGATCATGCGATCGTCTCCGTGACGATGTGATCGTATCAATTAACACTTAATGCTTTCCAAAGATACCAGATCAATTTAGGCATGATTGAGTTAGATCGTCCTGGACGATAATAATATCTCCCTGACCGATGTTTCACTAAAACAAAGACTTCCTAAACTGATTATGGCGCGTTGATTCTTTTCTGAATTGCAGATATCGTCCAGGCCGATCTGTTGACGGCTGCCTTAATGAGGATGCCTAACTAGGGTTTCTGGATTTTGGACAGATCGTCCAGGCCGATCTTACGATCGTCCTGGCCCGATGTTACCAAAAACATAAATCTATAGGAGCAGAGATTTCTATCAAGTTTATAGCAGCACCAAATACAACAGATCTCAGGAAAGGAAAAAGATTACAAACTGACACAGACCTTAGTCACGCCAACTTGAGCTGGTTCCAGATTGCAGTCTGATCGTGTGGACCTAAAACGGTAGCACATAAGGCAATCATAGAGAAATAAGGAATGTTTGCTATCATCAAAATCATAAACCATAGATCCGTAACAAACTCATGGTTAGACCTTATAGAAGAATATGACATTGAAGGATACCCAATCTCAAATCTAACTCTACACTTCTTAAGACTATGTAGGAATGTATAGGTAAGCACATATTATGAAGTTATCCACAAGCATTTGTTGGAATTTCCATTGACACATATTAATCAATGATTAAAATTGCGTATTCGGGTATTGAGGCGTTTTTCATTCGTGAGGCGAGGCGTAAGCCTCAAGGCGTTTTGAGGCGTAAGCCTCAAAATCAAAGATTGTGTAAACATAAAATAATAAATTTTTTATATACTAATGAGTGAATGATATAAAACATAAAAAAATATAAGATATGAAGTGAAAACAAAATATTCCAATAATAAGACAACAAGAAATATAGTTCAACTCAAACTCGAACTTTTCCAAATCACAGTATTCTTTTCTATGACCTGATGCATCTTTATCCTTAATTCTGACCATCATTTATGAGAAGAATATATTAGTGTAATATATCAAACCCCTAAACATAATGCTTCACTTATTCAATATTAAGAAAACTTATATAAGCATGCACTCATGAAGAAGTAGACTAACACTAACAACTACTACTAAAAATGATGAATACAACATATACCTACTCGGTATTATGTAAGTTTTAATATACATAGTATGAGGCGTAAGCCTCATGCCAGTGAGGCGAGGCGGGCCTCAACCAAGTTGAGGCGTAAGCCTCATAAAAAAAACTCGAGGCGTAAGCATCGAGGTGTTTTTTACTCGAATTGTGCAAAGGCGAGCCTCATATTGCGCAATTTTAAACCATGATATTAATATTTAAATATTGGAACACTATAAGAAACCTTGTGACAATTAATGAAATCTAAGACTAGAGAACTAGTCCTACCATGAGTATAACCCTCAAGTAACTTGCCATGTGAAATAAATCATGAAGGTCTTCATATTTGCATTCTCTCTCTCTCTCTCTCTCTCTCTCTCTCTCTCTCTCTCTCTCTCTCTCTCCATTATTTGTTTCCTCGTCTCAAATGGATTTCATGCAAAATGAGAAGGAAAAAAGGTTTAAATGTAAGGAGAGCGTAATCAAGAAATTTTCCCATTTAGCACGAGAAACTAATACCTAGAACAATGCAATACTCTTAAAATTATGAAAAAAATATTAATAGAGTATTCTATTATACTAAATCAAAAGCACATTGGTGAAAGTTTTTGTGAAACAAACATCTAAACAAACATCTAACCGCTATAGAAATCGCAGTCATCCAAGTCTATGCCTTTGGATCTTTTGCGATTTATATTTAGATGCAAATTCAAATAATAATATGTGACATTTTATGTCCTATGCACAATTTCTGTTGATCAAAATGCTTGGAATTTGGCAAAGGGTTACCTACAATAAGTGTTAGTATGCTAAAACATGAATATTAGTCGAATTCATGAGAAGCTCAATGTACACAATTTAATTTACATGTAGACTAGGTAACTATAATAGTGGCGATTATACTATGCTCTGTGGTTAAGCTTTAACCTAAATTTATGATGAATGTATATCGCATGTGATATAGTTGACATTTTTAATTTTACGCAAAATAATTATAGTGAACATAATAATTATTATAAATCCTTCATCAATATTATTTAATATATTAATAAAAGTTGAAATTAATTTCATACAAGACTCATATATATGTTTGTGCTTCTATTGAGTTAAGTTTAATAATAATTTTGAGTAGGTCTCAAAAGAAACGTCTCAACATCCGGCATCAAGAGAAGAAGAATCTGAAAAGAGAAATCGCATTGGAAAAAAAGATGCATAATACTTTCATCTTCCTCCTCACACAAGGGGCAAGTGGGATTTATGAGAATGTTCCTTTTAGTCAGCACTTCTGCGGATTTAAGGCCATCCAACACAGCCAACCAAGAATATGAAGAGTATTTTAAAGCAAACCGCTTGTGTCAAATATATTTATGCCAAGTAACTTTCAGGTAATCGAAAAAATAAAACTTCTTAAAAGTTTTAAAATTAGGGACACCATCACCCTTCCAGATAATGTTGGAATTTTCATTAAGAGTAGGGATAGAAGTAATTAAAGAGCAAGCTTCAACAGAGAATAAACCATTGAGCTGCCAATCCCCATTATAGATAAAGTCTTTCACTTCAAAATAAGCATTGGGAATAGGGTGAACTAAATCAGCAAGAGATTTACCGTTAACCCAAGGGTCCCATGTCATAAATAAGCTATTGTGAGATTTCATAATATGGAAGTGAAGTAAGTGTTTAATTCATGCAGCAATAGAGCAGGAGAACTTCCAGAACTTGGAAGCTTTCAGGGAAGGAGGTTTGAAAGGGGATTGATGCTTATATCTAAGCCATTTAGAAATTTGAGAGCTGTGAGTGTAGAGTCTCCAAATGAAATTGCAGGCATACCCAAAGTAAAGAGAATGAATGTCAAAGATTCCTAGCCCACCAAAGCAGGTAGGCAAACAAATATTCTTCCAAGCTATAAGGTGAAGTTTGTTCTCAGTAGTGGAACCATGGAAGAGGAACTTGGAGCACATTTTATCTATCAGTTTGCAACAGCTTTTAGGTATAATCGCACATCTGATCCTGTAAGCTAAAGTATTAGCAATAGTAAATTTGAGGTACTTAATTCTTCCTGCGAAAGACAAAAACTTAACTTTCCAACCAGCAAGTAGAGCAGAAATTATGCTCAGGAGTGGTTGGAAGTGAGAGGATGAAAGCTTTTTAATGGCAATGGAAATGCCAAGATATTTTAGAGAAAATTTTGAAAGAGTGAAACCAAGAACACTTTGGATGTCTTTAGTGAAAGAGGAGCCGTGGGAGAAAATAATAGAGCATTTGTTCTTATTAATAATGAGCCCAGAGTTGGCTGCAAATAAGTCCAAGGTGGCATTCAGTGCATGTGCATTCCCAATAGAGGCCGAGCCAAACACTAACACATCATCAATATAGAGTAAGTGATTAAAAATATTTGGGCCACATGATATTCCCGAGAAATTCCCCGCATCTAAAGCACAAGAGAAGGCATCCATAACAATAACAAACATCTTAAACTTTCACCCTCCTAATAAAAAAGTATCAGAGATCCCCAAAGCGATGTACTTGATCCAATGAAACATTTTTTCAATAAATATTGCAATAAAATTTTCAATTGTTGTAATTCTTTAGTAATCATCCAGCTAAACAAGGTGTTATGTTAATAGAAAAAAATCTATCTCCATCACTAGAGATAAATTTGATAAATGATTTAAAAATACTTATAAATATTCTCTAACAATTGATATATCCTTCAATTTATTCACCTCCATTGTGATATCCTTTTGTTTAGCGAGAAAATCTTAGCAATCATTTTTTAACAACATAAAAGATTATCATGCATAATATTCCTCAATCTTCAACAAACTTAAATTCTTCTTCACCAGGATACTTGAATATGGCCACCACCTTGTAATACTTTATATAGACAAAATAGCTAAATAACTAAATCCATATTTAAGATTTTATCAAATTTATGTAGAGGCAGCAAGTACAAATTTGTCTGAACACTTTAATTCCTTATCTCTATAGTTACTTGACATAATTTATTAACATCTACATGGTTCCATTTGGCAACACTATTGGTAATGTTGGGTGCATAATCGATGTATTTAAACCAAGGCGTTTAGTAAAATCTGCATAAATAAATGAATGCAATGCACCAATGTTGAACAAAATTCTAAAATGACTATTTTGAATTAAAGGATATGATGCTCCATCAAACTTATTTTAAATAAATATTGTATAAGTAAAAATGTTTGGTGAAATTTTAAACTCTTGTTGTGATAAAGCACACATTCGAGGGTGAACATTCTAGTGAGTCTAATTCTAACTTGAAGTTGATGCCATCATATCTACTACTCTTTGTGATGTAGGACTAAATGTGTTTGTTGATGTTTTACCTTTGAAATTATACGTTTTTGAAAGAGCAAGAACAATTAGTGAATTCCAACGACTTAAAAGATGAATGAAAACACTAAAGTAATGATTTGGTTCAAGCAATAGAATACATGATAAAGATTTAGAGCAAAAAATAACCAACCAAATAAGATTTTGCTTAATGTGGGGTTTTCGAAAGAAATCATTTAATTAATATTTAGAATAGTCACAATTTAAGATCTCTCACTCTCACTCATATAACTGGTTAAGCGGAGAAAGCTTGCAAGATCTTTGAGATGCCATAGTTGAGAGGGACTTGGAAGAAATAAGATTCAGGAGAGAGTTCACCTTTGTCAAGATTCGGAAGTAAGGTGCCACTGAATGGGAGGTTGTCATTGATCGATAGTGGTGGCGAGAGAGAAGAGGATTCTTTCCACGTAATCTTCAACGAAGAGATCGTTAGGTCAATGTCGAAGAAAGGAGATCGGTGGATGTCAATGAACCATGGTCGTTGAATATGAAGACGTGATCAAGCTTCAGATCAGCCATTCAAGGAAGGAGGAAGCATAACAAGTAATTTCAGATTTTGTGGATGTATGGTGGGGGAAACAACAATTAGAAATCTGAAATTAATTCCAGCAAATAGAAACTTTGAAATTAATTCCAGCAAATAGAAAATCTGAAATTAATTTGGGAGGGGTTGATTGGAGGGAGAGTTAATTGGAGGGGGCAAAAAAGGAAAGAGGGAGAGAGAGGGGGGCCGGCGGCTATGGGAGTGGGGAGGGGATGTGGGAGGGAATTAAGGGATTGAGATAGATTTCCAATCAAAGCCAATCTAAATGGAGAAAGAGGCTTTGATTCAATTGTCTCTCAAAATTAAATTTGGATTTAAAAGGCCTTGATTGGAGGGACTTTCCTAATATAACTTCTCTTATTTTAGGAAGGAATTTCAAATTCAAATTGAATTAAAATCTAAAATTAAAACCTTCCTAATAATTTAAGATGCATCACATAAAGAAAGTAATCAATTAGGGGTTTGAAATTTGGAGGCAAAGGAGGGGAGATGTGGCTGGCGGCTAGGAGGGGATTAGCGTTTAGGGCCGGCGGCTACAAAGGGGATTAAAGTTTAGGGCCGATGACTAGGAAGGGGATTTGGGTTTAGGTTTGAGGCGGCGGCTATGAGGAGGGGAGGGGCCCTTGTGGCCAGCGGCTAGGAGGAGGGTGGCTTTCGGTTGGCGGCTGGAAGGGAGGAGAGGTGGAGGCCAGCGGTTAGGAGGAAGAGGGAGGGTGGCCAACGGCTAGGATAAAGGAGGGACGATGGTGGAGGAGATGGACCACGAGTCCGGATGCTTCCTACGGCTGATGGGTAATACATTTCCGTCACCTAGGAACTTCAATCTCTCAAAAGAACTCTCTAAGCTCTCAGAACACAATAGCAGAAATTTTTCTTAATAATATTCATCATCCCCCCAAAAGGAAGAGGAGGGGGCTTTAAGTAGCCAAAATACAATAGCAACATAAAAGACAAAAGTGCCTCTAAGGGTCACAAACAACTATTCCTTCAAGTGAGGGAAAAAACAAAAAAACTGCGATAATAAATCAAACACGCATATAATGATAAACCTAAGAAAAATGATAACTTAAAAATAAAGTGGTGCGATCGTGGTCGTAGATCATCGGCCCCTTCTCTGATAGACTCTTCATGGTCGGATGTCCTCATCACTTTGTTTGACAAAATATCTTTGAGATGCTGCAATACTTCTTAAAGGCCTTTGTCTGAGTGTGGGACAATATTTTTCCATATGTCCAAGGTGATGGTACCAAAAGAAGGTCCTTGTTCTTGAAAGAAATTATTCTCTGTATGTTTTATCACATTTTTCACAATTTTTAATATTGATTACTACTTTCATTACTATTGGGTTTGGGTTTCTTCTAATGTGAATTTTGATATTGAGGGACTTGCATAGTCCTTGACCCTTAATACCTCTTTGGTTTTTGAAAATTTCTAGCTCTCTTTATATCTTGCATATTAATCTCTAACCGTCTAGTTCTTTCTATCAAAATTGTATAATCATTGACTCCCAAATGAATCGAGTTATGGTTCATACCTCAAGAGTGTAATGAATTCCACTTCATATTACATTATGGATTGACTCCCTGCATTAGTTTGATGAATTTATCTTTGATCTACCATATTAAAAAAAGCATAAACTTTGTGCTGCTAGATTCATTGCCAAATTTGTCTTGTAGCTGTCTTTGCCACCATCTTTCTATTTCTTCTCCCTCAAAAGCAAAAGTGGAAAGTGTGACCCTTCGCTCCTAAGGGTAGGATACGACTATTTGACACTACACAATAATATACGGGTCAAACGCACATAGCTCTCCATGTGTTTAAATTAATCTATGCAATATTTTCACTGAGCTTATAACACTTCCGCCAAGGTGAAGAATTTTTCATGTTTCCAAGCTTATATGTTATAAGATTCCAACACCTACTTGCTAAATATAATGAGTAGTTGAAATACCAAGAGACATCGAATTGTTTAGGTATTTGAAAGCTATGGATATATTTGTAAATTTATTATGTATCTGTGAAAATGCTACTAATGTTTTCCATGTTGCATAGCATGGAGCAGATTCTTGAACGTTACATGCGACACAGTTATGTTGAAAAAGTGTTTCCTATAAAAGAACCAGAGTCGCAGGTATAGATCATTATACAGGATTAATTTATCTTGAAAACTGTCAACTTCGTTTGCTGACCTCTATTTAATCCATATGAGCTTACGAAGAGCTATATATATATATATATATATATATATATATATATATCAGCTTACGAAGAGCTTTATATACATGCTTTAAGAAGCACAAAACCAGTTAAACCAAATAGAGTTATTAACTTAAACCTATATCGTTTCATTCTTTCAGGAAGATTTGTGCCATGAATATGAAGAGCTTAAGCGAAAGGTTGATGCCTTGCAGAGGAGCCGAAGGAAATAAATATTTCTTATTTTTGACAAGAATATGGAGAGAAAAATTGCTGATGTGAGCTCGTCCTAAGTGTATTTGAGGCATGTCATGGGTGAGAATAATCTAGACACCTTGAGCCTGACAGAGCTTCAACAACTAAAACTGCAACTTGAAACTGCGCTGAACCATATAAGGTCCCAAATGGTAAATAATTAAATCAAAATACTTCAATTTTGACCGCACTACTTGTATTGTAGATAATATCATTCAATATAACCATTCTTTGTAAAGAAGAATCAACTGCTACTTGATTCACTTTCTGAGCTTCAAAGAAAGGCAAGATTTTCTCTCTTCATTCCTTGAAATCCCTTAAAAATAATTTTTCTCAGTCAGTTAGTCAGTCATCCTAAGATTTAGCGTCATGATTCATATTTTTTAGAGTTTATTAGATTATCATGCCTTGGAAGAGACCTTAGAATGAGCCAATTGAGTGTTGATCATGTTCAGCTTCATGTATGCCACATGGTTGATGTGACATGAATCAATTTTTCAAATGGATGCTTTTGGTAAATATAAAACTTGATAGTTATCCAAATATGGAATTATCAAAATGATGGCTTATCTGGATTTGAGCATTTTTATTGTTTTGATGACATTTTTTCTGTTTCATGTATTAATTTTAACTTGATCCCCATGCAGAATAGATTTAGGACACATTGTTTCCTGAACTATCCCCCTAGAAAAAGCACTAGTAAGATTGAGGACATTCTTAACTAGGCTGTCAAGTGGGCTACTCAACTTTATTTAAGTTCCATTTTTATTGTTTTGATGACATTTTTTCTGTTTCATGTATTTTAACTTGATCCCCTTGCAGAATAGATTTAGGACACATTGTTTCTTGAACTATCTCCCTAGAAAAAGCACTAGTAAGATTGAGGACATCCTTAACTAGGCTGTCAAGTGGGCTACTCAACTTTATTTAAGTTCATTTAACTAAGCTCTACTAAAAGAATTATATTGAGATAACAATCATTATAGTTATTTTGTGAGTCTAATTTAGAATCCCATGTGATATGATTAAAGATTTTGATATAATTGCATACAAGGGACATTTTTTTGCACTTTTATTGAGTCAAATATAATAATAATGTTGTAATTATAGTTGTATGCATCTTTGTTGATCAGATTTCCCTTTGCTTTTAGGATCTATTGAAACTCAGAACTAATTCTCCATATAGCTAAGGCTCATTGGCTGTCCAAAGGCAATGACAATATCCAAATCCTTTATCTAAGAATCCAAGGGAGGCATGCTTCCATTAATAACATTATGAAGTTTCAACCTCGTTCTTGGTTTGGTTGATTCTCATCATCAAAATGCTTATAAACGAGTTATACAAAAAACCTTATGCTAATACCTTCTAATTCTAATATCCAGTGGGCAAGACTAGTCTTGTGGATCTAATCTCTGCTATTTGTTGAGGACACTTTTTAGTATGATATCTGGGGGTTATATTGGTGATACATAAGAATAAATTCTAGGATGTAGATTGTTTCATTTTTGAATTTTTCCAAACTATATGGGGCATTCATTACTGGCAAAGATTTTCACTGCAGTTGTCCATTTTTCTTATCTAACTTCAAGTTCTAACCCAAATATAGAGCTCCTAATTACATCAAGGACTTCATGGCAACATTTTTGTAACTTCTATAAAATTGTTGCCATAATCCTTGATTCTATGCTCCAAAAAGTGCTTCCTTTAATTATTTCTCCTATTTGAAGTGCCTTCATTTCTAACCACTTAATGAAAAGTTTTATTGGGCATTAAAGTTCTTTGTGGCTTCCACAAGTTGTTAACCTCTGTATATATTTAATTATCAATTCGAGTATGTACAATGAGGGGGATGACCGATCAACACGATGTCGCAAGCAATGAATTTGAAATGCCTCAACCACAATGAAGATCACTCAAACATTATTTGTTTAGGTAAACAAATTGTGCCGACATGTCCACAACTTCGAATTTACTAAGAAGTCATATGCAACTCGATCAAACAATGATGAAAATGAAGGTCTACGAAGATGGCATCGCATGAAATTATTCAAACATCATTTGTTTGCAAAATGGATTGCGTTGTTGCATTCAAAACATTGAAATTATCAAGAAGGAACCACACAATTAATTTGAGCAAATGCAAAAAATAGCAGTCTATAGACGCGACATTGCTTAAAATCACCCAAACGTCCTTTGTTTGTTTCTGCGTCATTGCGTTCGGAACAGAAAAATTACTTGGAAAATAGGTCCATATTATTAGGGTTATTGTTATCGTTCCATGTTTACTAATACGCTAAAAACACGCAGAAAGAGCGAAAATTGGCGACTTAAGTGACGCATCACTTAAATAGTCAAATGATATCCGATTGTCAAACGGATTGTGCCGTTGCAATTGGAGCTATCCGTTTGGCAATTGGAGCTTCAGATTCACCTAAAAGAGAGCCCCTCACAGTCAAATCAGGCGGAAATGATCAAAATCAATGATTGGTACCTAAAAATGACACGCAACACTGCCGAAACGACAACCGGTCGCAAAGCAGACTCCGCCATCGCATTCAGAACATCCGATTCATCTAAAATTGAATATAATTTTGCTCAATGAAAATCGTGCAAGGAAATTATCTCATATCTCGAAGCGACAAGGCGTAGATTTGAAGAAAAAGGCGTGCAAATCAAAGCAACAACACATAATTTTGAGACGTGTGAACTTCTATTTTATTTCTATTATTATTATTATTATTATTATTATTATTTTGAAAAAATTATGGGCATTTTCGCCTGTTTCATTAAAATGAACTAGTTACAAGTAAGTAAAGGAACTGTAAAGAAAAAATCAAGCAAAAGCTCAGTCCAGCTAATCAGGGAAGAAAAACAAAACTTCCCAATTCAAAAAACCTACAGAAGTAAATAAACAGAGAAAAATAGAGAAGAAAAACGCAGGAGGAGGGAGGCAAACAAGTCGGGCGTTTATTATTATTGTTATTATTAAAAAAAAATATACTTCGTACGTTCTGCACTGACGCCGTCGTTTCCCGTGAATTCTGTAAAAATTATGCTAATTTTTGTATTCGGGACCTTTCGCTTCTCCTCCTGTAAATCCTGCAGGTCTCGCCTAGATCGCGCCTCTATTCGCATTGATAAAATGAGAACGAACAGACTCCCTGAAGGTTTTTCTTCAATTCTACGCTCAACGCCCGACTTCACGACCTTCTCCTCCCGGCTCTCTCACTCAAAACCCCTTCAACCATCAATTCTGACATCCATTGCCTCCACTCTATCAAAGAGACCCACAGTTTCTTGTCCCGAAGCTTCAGCCAATCTCCTGCTCCAGGCGATCACAACAGACCCTTTTCTTCCCTGTACGTGAAGATCGGTTGAACCCCAGGCCACCAAACTCCCATCCGTCACCCGCAAGCCGTCCGACTCTCACCCAACTACACACGAGTATCCCGATCCATCTACTCATCAAACATCCCAGCCGACTCGCCTATACCCGATCCCCACAATAGCCGATCGACTGCCATCCACACATACTTGGCCTCCCTGTCTTCTGATCCCGCATCACTACTGCCCACCTCACAAGATCTGTCCTGATCGGACCTTCCTCGATCCTAAACCCCAACAAGCCAATCGAACACCCGAACTCCAGAGCCCAAAACTAATCTCAATCCCGCTTCCTTCCTCAATCCATGACTCCCTATCAACCCGGATTCCAGCTCACGTGAACAGGCTGAACTCCCACAAGCCGCCAAAGACCACCTAAGCCGCCTTTTGTTTATCCCTCCTCATGCCTTCATTGCCTTGATTGGCCATCAATGCTGATTTTTGGTAAAGCTAGAAGAGCAAAATCATTGTGAATTCAGCTCAAAGACACAATCAATACAAAAGTATGTGAATATTATGATTCATTCATGAAGTTGTTTCTCAGAAATTTAAAACAAGCTTTGTGGTCATCAATGCTGATTTTTGGTAAAGCTAGCTAGAAGAGCAAAATCATTGTTCTATAATAGTATCGCTATTTAAGCCATTGGGACAAACATTATGTATGCACAATATCATCAAGAAGCAGCTCGATCATTGGCAGATGATATCATATCTGAATTCAGCTCATGTCTTTGAGTAATCCAAAAAAAAAAAATATCATCATAGTGCCTACCTATAACTATGTGGAGCTCAGGACATCAAACTACTTAAAGATGATATCTTATCAGCATGTACCGTTCAAAGCAAAGGATAACTAAAACAAGAGCTGAAAAGAGGAAACAATTAACTGTCTATCAATCAATACTTCATAACCAAACAATGTGCTGGAAGAGATGAAGTAATAATATGAGTCATTTGAAAATGGAAAGCTGGGAAATACGATGAATGCTTCCTCAATTTAAAAGCAGCCATTAACTTTTAAATTAGCTCAAGAAATAGATCCTTAATGATCAAATCTTGTCAAGCATCTCAAATACTCATAAAAGAAAATATCATTGATTCTGGATTGTTCATATCTAGCAACTATGTTCTTTTCTTCAAAAAATTAGCAATTTGAAATAATTCGCTAATGGCTGTAAGGGAATTCGCTTGATAAGGAGATATTTGATAATCCAACAACCATTTTCTCTTTGCCTTACCAATACATGCTAGAATGTGTATAACATTTTTCACGCTTACTTTGCAAGAGGAAATAGAGTTTTCCCTGGCTTGAACTCTCTGATTTTCTGCTCGGCAATCCTCCGCGTCGGCTTCCTTCTGCTCGACAATCCTCCACCTACGGTCTTGATTTGACCGACCGCCGCTCATTCGACCTCGTCAAATCCACCTGCACCGACGAGTCCGGCTTCACCTGAGCGAAACAAGAACGACCTGCTACCTTCGTCCGACCTCCTCCCGCAAGCAAACGAGCCCAAACCTGTCCGTCCGCCGCCGCCGCCCGCCTGTGGAATGTCATCATTATATGCGTTAATTTTAAAGGCTAATTAGATGTAAAAGTAGCGATGGTTTTTTCTGCTCTGCTAGGGTTCCGCCGACGCTTCTTCTTGGATGAGATTTGAGGGCTTTCCTCTCCGTTTAAGGCTCAGGTATCTTTTTTTACCTGTTGTTGATGGCTCGCCTTTGCGATCCCAGTTTTTTGAGGGCTTCCGCGCCTCTATCTTTTAAGGAAGCTTTAGCTGGTTCTTCGTCCTCTTTCCCTGATTTAAAGGTCTCTTCTCATCGTGACTTGCCGGCTTTATTTATTTCTGAGGAAGAGG